AGAAAGGACGAAATGAATTGTTTATTGAATAGACTTATTACTCTGCGAAATCACATCAGCCTTTGATGTGAAGAGGAGAAGAATGACCGGCTTCTCTTCTTAGATATGCTAACAAGTAGAGGAGAAGATGGTTCAAGCAGACGATCGATCTTTCGAGAACCAACGTTGACGGGCCAATACCTTAGTCACAATAGTTACTGCCCAGTGCAATACAAATGAGGTTCGATGAGCGGTCTGTTTAATAGGATTAATCGTGTTTGCACAAACGACGCTATCGATGACGACGTTAGGTTGTTAAACAAAACATTAGTGGAAACTGGCTATCCCTTAAAATTCATAAATAGATGGAAAGGTCACGGTATACTGAGGCCTACTATAACCTTGGCAGAAAGGAACCTGTCTACATCATTTTTCGGTTTGGAGGTGATTCAAATAACTTTTTACTGAAACAAAGGCTTAAATAAGTTGTTAACAGGACGTATTACGCAGCAAAGGTCTTTATGAAAGAGAAAACAATGTCCATGTCTCAGCGAAAACGTAAAACACACGGAAATGATTGCGTCACATGCCACTGTGTTTATCGATTTGAATGTGTGTGTGGCCACATATACATGTGGAGGAGTAATCGTGATCTCCAAATTAGGGTGTGCGAACATGTACCTAAGTGGTTGCAAAAACAAATAAAATCAAGTGATCCAATAAGAGTAGATGATGAACATCCATTCATGGAGGAAATTCACTGAGTAAGTTAATATTCGTAATAATAATAATAACAATACCACTACTGCTGCTATTAGAACTACTGATATTTCAAAAACTACTACTAACAATACTACTCGGACTACTACTACTACTACTACTACTACTTCTACTACCAATACTTATAATAATACTACGACGACTACTTACAATACTAATACTAATACTACTACTACTTCTACTATTTCTACTACTAGCATTATTCTACTACTTCTACTACTACTACTACTACTACTACTACTACTACTACTACTACTACTTCCATTTCTACTATTGCTGCTTCTGTTTATCCGAGATCAAATACTGTCGTGAACGCTCAGTAGTCGAGATTTCTCACAATCTGTGCTCTGAAATGTTCGACTCCCTGGAATTTATTATTCATGAGAATTCCATGCGATTTACATTCATCGCACAGTAACACGTACGATACCCCATACACTATCGACCGGTAAAACAATCAAAAACACAAATGTGAGTAGTTAGAAAATTTATTTTCATTTTTTATATTGCAAAATGTACATGACGTCCAGGCTTTTTGATTGCTTGACCTGGACGTTTTAAACATGGTCTGGTTTTACACAGCTTGACATTATTGTTTGACATTTTTCTCTTTGATGATGTGGATCTGCCATGTAAAACCGTGTTTTTTCTTTTATTTGTTCATGATAATCAGTAGGTTGTTTTGGAGAATAATGGTAATAATTACAACAATTGTAGTAACAATAATAGTGGTAATTGTAGCAATAGTAATAGTAATCACATTGGTAGTATTGATAGCAGTAGTAGTAGTAGTTGCTGTAGTAATAGTGGTAATAGCAATCATTGAGACAAGTTTGTCCGGAATCCATATGGTTGTTCATCGATATAATTATTTTTTGCGAGCGTTTTACAGCGAGACCGCTCGGCAAATGCGTTTTTACAAACTGATTATCATCGCTCTAGACTGATATTATATAGACTTGACATACGTTTAAACTATTCCCATTCAAATTTGAATAGAAAAAGTCAATCGAGTCACGTGGCTGTAAATCAATCAAGAATGTATGTTTGAAATCAATGTGATTTATGAGAACGATGATGAAAGTAAGGAGTAAAATGACGGAAAACGTTAGTCAGTCAGCCGTTTACGATAGTCATGAAGACTGATTTGGTGAGCATAATCTCATTCTGGAATAAGAATGAAAAACGTAAGTTTGCATTAAGCAAATGGCCAGAGTAGAAGTGGACAATGTACAAACATCTTGGGATAAGAAGGATGACCAGGTTTGCTCACGCACTGCTTTTGGACTGGTCGGAATAAGACTGACATTTTCACGAGAACTAGATTTAACATCAACTAGACGGGAATTCGCTCGACCTTGAGGATGCAATATAGTCAGTCTTCAGTAATAAGGATAGGTTGTCTTTTGATCTATGTTTTCCCTTGTAGTTTATGATAATGTGGAGATCTAATCTCTTTTTCAATATATTAACAGACGGTGCTGATATTACGTGTTCCGGTAGAGAATTCCAGTAATTCACTACTCGGTGCGAGAAACGGAACTCCCGACGTAAACGGTTTGATCTCGGTTTTTGATCTTTCTTCGAATGTTCTCTCAAATGATCGGTTCTAGACGGAAGCAAACGATAAGACATGTTAATGCCAAGGTCATCGTTCAGTATACGATCAGCCAATATTAGATCACCCCATACTCTACGGTAAGATAACGGAAATAAGTTAAGGCGTCTCAGTCTGTCTTCATAAGATAGGCCAGATAGACCCTGTACCATCTTAGTACCTCGTCGTTGGACTCTTTCTAGCATATCTGCTTCATATTTGAAACAAGGACTCGCTGCTTGAATCCCGTATTCTAAATGTGGTCGCACATAAATCGGGTATAGTAATCCAAACATTTCATCATCTAAATACTAGAAAGATTTACGAATTGACCATAATACCCTATAGCCTTTTGCAGCAGCTTAATATAACTCCTAAGTCTTTATAGTTTCTTACTTTGGGTAGCACGAATCCACGTAGTGTATAGTCATACGATTCATCAGAGTTATTTAACTGCATCACTACACTCTTATTAGGATTTACTTCTAGTGACCACCTATCTAACCATGCCACCAATGAGCTAAGATCGTCCTGTAATACTATCCTATCCGACATACTATGTATGGGTCTCCAAATCTCTATGTCATCAGCGAAGATTAGAACGGATGATTTTGCTACAGTTGGCAATTCATTTACATAAAGTAAAAAGGGAAGAGGACCCAGGATTGCACCTTGGGGAACCCCACTTTTTACAGGTACCCACGAGGAGAGAGCCCCATTTACCCTTACCCTTTGTCTCCTGTCATGGAGAAAGTTACTTATCCAATCGACGACTGTATAGTGGATTCCAAAACGTTTCAGTTTGAATTTAAGACCAGAGTGGGAAACCTTATCAAAGGCTTTACTTAGATCTATGAAAATCACATCCACAGGAGCATTCCGATCCTTTGCCGCAGCCCAATCTTCTCGTGCAATGAGAAGATTTGTCAAGCAAGATAGGCCTTTCCGAAAACCATGTTGTTCCCTGGAGAAAAGATTTTGCCCTTCAACGTAGTTTATGACAGCTATCCGAATGATTTTCTCCATAAGTTTTACAACTGCACTAGTTAAGCTAACGGGTCTATAGTTACTAACTAAATCCCTACCCCCAGCCTTGTACACCGGACTAATTATGGCGTCTTTCCAGTCTCTAGGAAGTCTGGACTGTCTCAGAGACATGTCGAATAGCATCGCTAATGGTTCAGCAATTTCATCTGATATGGCTTTCATAATCCTAGGATGAATATCGTCAGGACCACTGGACTTATCAGGTTTGAGATGCTGGAGTAGCCTTAAAAGAGTATCTTTCTCAATGACTACAGGATCCATCAGCGAGCCGTCACGGTCGCGACGAATCATTGGTCGTTCCTCATTACCGATAGAAAACACTTTACTAAAGTATTCCGATAAAGCTTCAGCTTTTTCGGTATCATTCTCTGCTAAGATTAACGGATTTTCTCGTATCAAAAGTGATGGAATTCCATCACTTCTCTTAGTTCGCCTTTTTATATACGAGAATAACCGTTTAGGACTATATCTAGAATCCCTAACCAATTGTTTTTTGTATGATAGTCTAGTCTTACTTATTAACGCTTTACAGGCATTCCTAATCTTACAGTAACTGGATCTGTATTGTTCTAAGCCAGTAGAGATGAACATATTCCAGTGATTCTTCCTTTTTCTAGGGAGTTTCCTGACCGTTTTAGTTATCCATGGTGGACTATTATTCGGTCTTCGCGGTACCAGGTATGGTATGAACGGGGACGTAACTAGTCTAAATTTACCTTTAAATACAGACCATGCTTCTTCAACTGATATGCTAGTATCTACCAACCAATTTGTCTTAGCAGCGCATTCCTGAATGGCTAATATGTTAGCTTTCCATACATTTGGGCGAGGTGTAACCTGATCGTATAACATGTCCCTAGTTCGAAACGTGAATGACAAAACAGCGTGATCGCTGTTCACTAACGGCGGGAGAATATTTAAGTCGACAATATCCTCAGTCTCATGAGTGATTACCAAATCCAGCAAAGAAGAACCCTGGTTAACACCAAAACGTGTGGGTTGGGATATATGCTGTACTAGTGCATGCTCCATTATTGTTATCAGGAACTTACTATCAAAGGAGTTTATAGATCTTTCTGTGGTCATCTCAGTCCAACTAATATCAGGTGCATTAAAGTCTCTTATTATCAAACATCTGGTATTTTCACTCCAAAGATGAATGTGCTCTAAAACAAAGTCATCAGCTAAGCAGATTGGGCTCCGATAGATGACACCTAGCATAAATGTGCTACATCCGATAGCTAACTTACAGCGAAACGAAGTGACGCACGGTGGAGGCGTGTGAGCCAACTCCATTTAATCAAGCGTTAATCAATATTTATAGTCACACAAAAAATAAGCTACAGACATGTGATGAGTAGGATAAGATGTACTCACACACGCTCATATAAAGGCAGTCCGGGTTGAATAATTAACAAGGTCAAAACGTGACTCAAGAAGAATGAATAAACCAACCTGTTCAGAAGTTAGAATACGTTATATGGGCTTAAAATAGTAACCGATACTACAAGGTCTTGGATTTTGGGGTGAAACTCACTTACTTTTCTGACTAAATAGCGTTTTGGCATTTTAGCTGATATCAGTTCGTAATGAAAACCTTAAAACTAGTTCCTAAACCTAACCGTCTACTGTAAGTCACAATCCTAATTCCTTTCACTGGCTTATGACTCTCATTCAACCCTAGTAAGTAGGTAGGCATTCCCAAGGCCATCAAAGCGTCGCTCAAAGGCGCAGAAAAGTAATCATTGGCATTTTTTGATTACGGAATTTTCGTTACGGTCTAATAGTATCAGGTGTTTCATTGAAGTGACGAAGAACTAATTGTATGTGTTTTTGAACCATATTAAAAAATTTTAACTTTACAAACTACTAAATTGGAAGCGTAATTAGTTTGTTGAATTCCAGATAAATACTTACCATCAGACTAATCAGTAAGAACTCTGACGAAATAACTTACTGTAAACATCAAAACAGTTTCACTATTTCTTATTTTAATGAATCCGCCAGCATAACGCCTTGTTTGGTGATAAACTGTTTTCAAATAGGAATTTTAAATTTGGCCCCTTCCCAGTTATAGATATTTGTAAGCAAGTACAGCTTCATTTTACGTTAAACTTTTCCTTTATCTCTTTGCTGTTTTGCAGCAGCAAAAAATGTCGAAATCCATACCGGATTTGCAAGATTCTCTAGTAAATGATAAGGAAAGTACAAATAATATTGTTGCTGTAAAAATGGAGAAAACTATTGGTCTTGTAAGCAGCATCACAATTATTATCGGTTCAATCATTGGTTCGGGTATATTTGTTAGTCCAACTGGTATATTAGAAAATATGCAGAGTTTTGGTGCTAGCTTAATTATTTGGATTGGGTGTGGAATTTTTTCTTTATTGGGGGCCTATTGCTATGCTGAGCTAGACACAATGATTCAACGCTCAGGTGGAGATTATGCATATGTGCTTGAAGCGTTTGGTTCATTTATGGGATTTTTACGTCTGTGGATTGAAGTGATGGTAGCCAGACCAGCTACAATGACTGTCATTGCTATGACATTTGCTAAATACATTTAACAGCCTATATTTCCTGATTGTCCACAGTCTAATGCAGTTGTACGATGTTTAGCAGCTGTATGTATTAGTAAGTAAATTCAATTGACTCGGACGTTTTTACTTATTAAACAATAAATATCCGTGATATAATTCTTTGGCTTATTAATTCACGTTGCGAATATGATTTTATTTGACCTTTAATATCATTTGGGAGAATGGTTTAATGTTAGATTTCATAATTAAAAGTTTTGTGGCTCTATATCTGACTCCATTTAGATCGTATGCGGATTGTCATCAAAATATATATACCGACAACCCTCGTATATATCTATCGACTTAAGTCACGTTAGGGAATAACTAGATTAAATAAGTCAAATACAAGAATGAACTTTCGGATACATATATTTCATACAGATTTTCAAATACAACACAGAGAACACCGATCCAGTCACACTTGATGGACAAGCTCTGGAACAGGTGGAAACTTTCACATATCATGTTAGCAGCATCATTGATGAACAAGGTGGATCCGATGCAGACGAAAAGGATTGACAAAGTAAGGACAGTATTCTCACAAAAAAGAAAATATGGAACTCAAAACAACGTCAACCAACATCCAATTCACAAACTTAAATACGAACACGAACATCAAGACAATCCTACTGTACGGAGCTGAAACGTGAAGAACTGTCAAAACCACAATTACAAATTAACAAGTATTTATAAACAACCGTCTACACAAGATACTCAACATCCGTTGGCCAGATACCATCAGCAACAGCTTACTGTGGACGAGAACAAACCAGCTTTCAGCTGAAGAGGAAATTAGGAAAAGATGTTGAAAGTGGATGAGACATACATTGTGGAAATCATCAAACTACATCATGAGACAAGGGCTAACTTGTTATCCTGAAGGGAAACGGGAAAGAGGAATGCCGAAGAACACACTGCATCGAGAAATAGTAGCATACATGAAAAGGATGAATTAGAACTGGAAACGATTGTCCCAGGCAGAGTTGGATGGAGAATGCTGATGACTGGCCTGTGCTTCTCAACGAGGGCTAACATGTAAATGTATTTCATACACTTGTTGATCTGAACAGATAATTAGAGAAACGCAGTGAAGTGAGCGAAATGACGCGCAACGGAGAAGGCGAGTGAACCAATTCGTTTTCATCAAGAGTGATTCAATATAAATGGCCAAACAAAAGTAAGTTACAGACACGTAATTATTACGTCAAGCAATGGACATACATGCGATCGCATAAAAACAGTCAGGATTAATATGCGAGTATTTGAGTAGGTCAAAATTTGCTTTGAGAAGAATGAATAAATTTGTCTGTCCAGATGCTAGAACAACCTATATGAGCTCGACACAGTATCAGCCACTACAAAATCAAGAGAAATATATTATTTAATAATGAATCACTTGGTCTCAGTTACAACGATTAATTTTATGTTGTGCTACATTTATGGCACTGCATTTGCTTAACCCTCAAAGCTTAAGCTTCTCATAGCTCAGTTTATTTTAGGTTTATTAAGAATTATTTTCATCCAATTTAAATGGTTCCCGTCTGTTAATACTAGCTAATCATAATTATCGAGTAGTAGTAGTAGTAGTAAAAGGCCTAAGCTACAATTTGTATAGTACAATTTATTTTTCTTTCTGGTTAGTGTTTTTTTAGCGAGTTAGTTTTCTACGGGATCAGGACGCTAACCCCATGCCCAACCCTCCTCCTTCATCCGGGCTTGGGAGCGGCAGTAGCCCCCGGAGGGACTCCAGGCGGAGTTATAGTACAATTTATACCGCAGTTTATATACTAATCTGTACCTTATAAAAAGAAGAATCCTATCATGATAATAACGGTAAATAAAAATATTTCGACATTAATCAATATCTTTACGGGGATAAATATGTAAAGAAACAAATAATCTTGTATTTTTATACATACTGGTTCAGTTCGACAATCATTTTTTCACTAACTAAGGATTATTGAAGTTAATAAACACTTCACAGGTAATTTGTTCTTGTCTACGATTTATTAGCGTTACACACCTACAACATTATTATGGTTCGGATACAAAGCCTCAAACTATCTAGGAGATTCTATTGTACAGAACGTCTTAAATTACATCCATTGTTTAATGGTTATTGCGCACTTCCGAAAAGTACTAGACAAGAGCAAAATATTTGCATGATCCTTCCTGAATATTCACTGGTTCTTCACTATCTGATATCAGTTTTTTAACGTAAACTTCTTTCAATATTAATATTACTTCACTCATTTAGTATTTATTAATTATTGCTATAGTGATCCTGGGATTTATAAACTCTGTCTCTGTACGTTGGTCTACACGTGTGCAGGATATTTTCACATATACCAAAATAATAGCATTATTAATGATTATTATTACAGGATTTGTACAAATTGGTTTAGGTAAGTTGAATTTGAGTAGACGCATTATATGTATATATTGCATAACAAATTTACTTTCTATTACAGATTATTGAAGATAAAAATCGGATGATATTAAGTCTAATAATTCTAACTTTGATTTGAGGTTTAACTTCATACAATTCCTAACTTTTCTAACATTTCAATAGGACATAAGGAAATGCTCTTTTTGCATATATTCTTTTAGTTAGTTACACTTTGAGTCTACATTCGAATCAATCTTTATATTAGAAGCAATGCAGTATATTGTGGTCAAGTTAAGAGAGTCACCGGTGGAGACAGGTTATGAAAAATAGTGGATAAAGTAAAAGAACAAGTGGTGATTATTCGTGGAGGTGGTTAATAAAGGAAGAATAGAGACAAGAGTTTTCCCAGGGGTCACAAATGAGCATCATTTATTAGGTACTCGTAATGGAACGGTTAATTTATAGTGTTCCGTGGAACAGTAGGAGAAAGGGTTAAATAGTTAAAAAGTGTATGCATGATTCAGAGTAGTCCTGAATTCGTAATGTTGTTCACGTGAAACCAAGGTTTCTTTTCATATTCAATAGAAAGTTTTCTCCTCTTGAAAATTGGAGTCATTGTTATTCAACTAGTGGCGTTTTGTAAAAAGTACTCACTAACTGACTAGATCTTCATGTTATAACTTGTGACCTGTGTGCCATGTTAATGTATATGTAATGATACCACCAATTAGAGACCAGTGAATTATCGATCGGACCAATGACGCATAAAATCCGTACAAGCAGTCCAGAGTCCTTATCGGTCCTGCTTCTTGCCTAGCCTCTCCTATTAAGTCCAGGAAACCAATCCCAGCCCCTACGATATGAATCATGTATTTTAAACAAACTGGGTTTATATACAAACCAAACAGACCACATCACACCACAAATTGGAAAACAACATTTGTACAAGACTTAGCCAAAAGTGGCTGTGAATGTGGGAGACTGTAATTAATAGACTGGGCATAACTCAAGAACGCTAAATCGTATAATAATAGTCTATCAGTCAAAATAAAGCTCATAATAATAGGAATATGAATATGCATAGTTTAGTTACTTAACAATTATACAACAGAAATGTATCCATCGTAATGGTCAATAAATAGCTCTTAAGAGTTACCATTCACTATTTTTATCGGGACATAAATACTGTGGAGTTTTTTTGAACAAATATTCCAATATTTCTCAAATTCCAGGTCACGTTGAAGAATTTCAATCACCATTTGAAGGATCTAATTGGAATCCTGGAAGTATTGCCAAAGCATTCTATTCTGGTTTATTCTCTTATGCTGGTTGGAATTATTTAAATTGTATGATTGAAGAAATGAAAAATCCTAAACGTGATTTACCTATTGCTATTGTCTTCTCATGTCTTGTTGTGACTATTGTCTATACATTAGCTAATGTTGCTTATATTACTGTGGTTTCATTGAATGAAATATTAACAACACCAGCTGTTGCTGTAGTAAGTAATAATTATGATTTAATTTGAACGATTATTAACACAAGCCAGTTCTTTGCAGCTTTCTTTCATGACACAACACCATGTCATACACTGACCACCTCTCCGCTTTTTCCAACCAGTCCCAGAGTCGGAAAATAATGCACGACGTGGAATTCTCTGAGATGACATTCGTAAAACATGTCCAAACCCCGAGGTTGGTGTTTCAAGATGGTGACATCGATTGCATTATCAACTAATGGACTTGTTATGCCACCTAGGATCGGCCACGGCTGTTGGTTAGAGTTTTTGAACAAACTTAGACTATCATACTCTAATTGCAGCTTCAATTCTGTGAAACGGATTTTACGTAGCCAATTTTCTGAAATCCTCAGTAAAGTTGATTTCAATCCGAAATAATAGTAAGTTCCTGATTTCAGGATTTTAGGCTCCACGTCGTTGCATCGACGTAGAGCACTCCGGATGGACGTTGGGAGTTCTGGATATCTCGCACGAAAAAGGTCCAATATTCGATCAGCCTTCTTTATGCTTATGTCACCACCTTTCATCATTTCAATGACTATTCTGTCTAACTGATCTTTCATGGAAAGATGAATGGCTGGAGACATTTCTGATATCACACGACCTATAAATTTTTAATAATTAAAGAGATACTACCGCTGGTTGTGTTATCTGAACACTGGACGTAACTACATTAAGCAGTAGCTATATCTGAGACAATATTAGCACACTCCTCTGTAGCTGCGGTAGTCTGTGATTCTATGACGACAAGTGAATTGTCTGTCTCTTCGTTACTGTTCGGTAACCGACACTTCTTTATAAACTCTGCTTTTAACTTCCTCAACCTTCTGTAATAGGTTGCTCGGGAACAGCCTAACAACCTCAAGTATTTTGCGGCTTGAGCCCGCCTTTTCACAATCTTATTGACCTGTCTATTATTATTCTGGAAGAAATAATTGACTTAGGTAAGACTGAACATAGCACCCAAAGTTTTCGACTAGCACTGCTAATAACTCACCTGCATAGCGTTCGAATTTTGAAAAAGTGGTTTACTATCGAAAACTATGTTTGTTGATGTATTCAAATGGTTCAAATGGTTGT